TTAAATAACAGAAACCATATAGATTTATGTCGTCATTTGTAATGCAGTCAAAGGTCAAGAAGATAAAATATTTTTTTTTTCACATGAATTACAGTATTGTAATATTTTACGAGATGCTGGTATATATCTTAACATCGGTAACTTGTCAAAAAATTATGTCTAAATTAAAATGCATTTGTTATTAACTGTTCCACTGTTAACAATTATTTTTGCTTAGAGTGATTTTTTTTGCACGTAGCATGTGCATCCAAATCATGTGCTTCATTGATACCTATTAAATATTCACAAGCAGTTATAAGACCATCAATTTTCACTGCCATCAAACGTGCCAGGGTTTCATTCTGCTATAAATGATTTGCATGGCCACAGGGCAGAACATGGAATTGTGAACGGAATTCTTCATAACGTTTCCTGTGATACTAATTGTGTTTGCAGGTGAAAGCTCATATATACGATATGTTATGATGATAGATGTCTGCTACCCCCCTCCTCTCGGTGGAGGATTAATAATTTCTGATATTTTCTTTTCTTTTTCTACTTGCCCTCATTGATAGGCAGATTTGACAATAGGAAATTATACAGCTAATAATTAGACCTGTCTTCGGTGTTTAGATGAATCAAAGAAGTATTTACTTGAATTACTTGCTGCCAGGTCATAAGATCTCTATTTTCCTTGTTGGCCTCTTTGTTTTTCATTGAATTCCAAATAAGAATATCCATATTTAATTAAGGAAATAACATGTCACAAGTAAGTCGAGGGAAATGCTGAAATATTGAAAATTAACTTAATAAAGCTTTGACACATCTCTGACCACATGACAAGTATGGTGCCTGATCAGTAGATTTTAGTTTAAGTCGCGTGCACTTTCTCTCGTCCAAACCCCTGTTATTGCCTGCAAACTGTAATATCGTAAACATTTCTGACAATGAAATATTTAACATGTTCATTGTTTTGATGTTTCTCTGTTTTTCCAAAATCCAGCTCAGAACTGATTTATTGTGAAATTAAAAATAATTTTTTCTGATGAATGTCCAATAATTTGTTGCATCAATATCTCAAGATCCACTTGATGGATTGGAATGAAATTTGGTACACATATACTTAGTTATGAACTATTATTAGATTTTACAAATCCATGTATATTAGTTTGCATACTAATTAACAACTTTTAGCATTATTTAAGTTTAACAACTTTTTGTCAAATGGGTTGACACTTGGTTCATGCGAGCTTGTGTAGTTTAATGTTTAATACCTTACTATATTAATTTGCATATGTAAATTACCTAATTTGCGAACCAGTTAACTACTTTGTTTTGTTGATATTTCAACAGTTGGTCGAAACCTGGTGCTTGCTTACTGTTTGTGTATTTGAATATCTAATCCTATTTTTGTGTACTAATAAACTCATTTCGCACGTTTTAAGCTCCCAAGGGGGAGGTAATGAGTTTTGTGTGTGCGTTTGTGTAAGCAAAACCTCAATTTCTGAGCAGATATTGATCAAATTCAGGACATAAAAAGTTTGGAAAAGGCGCAGACATGATTAATTATGGGCCCATGTCTGTGCATATTAAGTAGCTAATTTGCATATTCCCTTTTTAGCGTGTGTGGGCAGTTTTAGCAGCTATGTTACACTAAGTTATCCTTAACTGGTATTCAATGAAACCTTGTACATAAATGATGTGAGATAATTTGCTTACCTGATTAGTTTTTGGTGGAAATTTCCTGCCTATGTTTGCATATTATTTGTCAGATGCAATATTAATCCAAGTTGAATTTGGTATGTATTCTGTGTATATATTTCAAGATATTGGTTTAATTTCATTTCTTCTTGTGGTTACAATTTTGATTTGATCATCTTAATATTTCACCATCTTGAATTCAAGAACATTTTTAGCTAGTGTTTTGCTTTTATTCTTTTATACAATTTATGTCCTATTATTCTATAAAGAACATTGAGGTTAATACAGTACATGTAGTATTAATTGAAGAATACTGCTAGAATTTTGCTTATATTGCTGTACTATTATTTTTTAGGAATTTTATGTAATTTGTTAAAAAAATTGCTTGAGAAATTTGAATATTTTTTTTTCTTGTTTTCCTTTTTTTTTGTTGATCGAAATTGTAGCTATGCAGAGAAAAGTTTGTGCATCGTTAGTTTGTATTCACCCATCCATATCTGTCAATGAACAAGGTTGTAATAGTTAGGCTATGTTTTTGGTTTATTTTGATCAGTGTGCTATAAAGCAAATCCTTGAATGTCTTCCCAAGCAGAAATGTTAATGTTTAATTTACCTTCTAAAATAATGACCAATTAAATGTTTGTTTGTCAGAATGGGAAGTACTACCGTAGGTTAGTTGATGAGTTTCTCAAATTGAGCGTAAACATTGGTCATCCATTAGCTGTGGAAGTGTTCCTTCCTCTTGAATCGCGCATGACTTAGACCTCTGTCTGCTGAGAGGTCTCTGAGTTATGGGTTCATTGAAATAGCAGGCACACATAAGCATGTAGACATTTGACTATTTATTGGGTACAGTCAACTGGAAACAGAATGGCGATGACTGTAGTTTAGCATAAGAGTAGTTTTGATTTCCTATGCACCAACATATGCCCTCTGTGTCCTGTAATGTGAATTTCAAGTGTATAATTCATTATTAAACTTTTAACATAAAAATCAACTATTTCACAAATTCAAGCATAATTTTAAAAAATTCAATGTTCATTCAACCTATAACCAATGAGAAATTATGTTAATTTTGTTCAAAATTAACAAATTCAAAAAAAAGCATAAAGTGTGCATGCTGTATCAAAAATGCTGGCATTCAAATGGTAATATTCAACGAGATAATGTGCCTTGTATAGTTTGTGAGTGAGCTGAATGAACCTAAGCCTGAGAAAGCAATCATGGTTATAAACCTGGGGTTTCAAAATATTTAATATTTGATTAGACATATAAGTGTAGATTATTTTCATTCTAATTGTACTGTAAATTGTACTGGGATTGTTTTTCATTTCATTTTGAAAATATTTGTCTGAATTGCTCCTAATTACAGGCACCTAATAATTTCTCTGATCAATTATTACTGTAACATTTTATGAAATATGCAAATCTCTAAAATATCTCTATAACTGAATTAAAACCACAAGATTTGAATTTCTGCAAGTTTTTTGTCATGATTGAATTACGGAACATGTTTCCATGGCAACAAGTCAGGTATGCCACTACAAGTAGGGTTCTGGTTTGTGATAAAGATATTCAGAATCAACTGGACACTTTCCCATTGCTTTAGATTGTACTCGTGTAATGCCATCATATGTTGTATGTTACCATGACTTAATTTGTTGATTTAATATAAAAAAAAAATCAGTGTGTTAACTGTCAGAAACAATTTGGATCCTAGTGGATTTATTTGAAGTGTGAGATTATAGGATTAAGCAAACTAAGCAGATATAAAAACTATTAGAGGTAACACATATTAGAAATTAGGTCAACTGAGATTTGAAGCCTTTCTTCTTGTTATTGTTTACCGATTGGATGTACCGGTACTCCATATTGAATCTAGGTGCTGGCTCCCCAATGGCTGCCTACTTGTGGACAATGCTACTAAAGCAATAACTATCAAATGCCAGATCCATCATGGTAGTGTTAAAATCAATCGTAGACAGACTCCCCAGGTAATCAAAGAATCTTTACCCTGCTTCCCGGCTACAATTTGAAATATAGAGCATTCTCTACATTCCCTTGGGTAGATTTGTAGTTTGAGCACTGTGGTTCTCAGGTATAGATGGAATTCCAGCAATTGAAATGGCTGGTCCCACAATGGCAATTCAATTCATCGAAAAGCTGGTAATCACGATTTTCTGAAAAGCCCAAGAAATGAAAACTAGTAGAAGCCGATTACGCTTTATTGAGAGATTACTAACTCTAATTCCATGTCTGCAAATGTGATCTAATACCCAATATTTTATTTCATCATCATGTATGCTAATTTTAATCAAGGAAAAGTGTTGGAATGTCTGAGAAGATTTGTGGTGCCCTAGTCAAGTAGAAAATCAGCTTTGGTGTCATTTACCGCTGCATTGTCAGCTGAAATTTAAATGTCTGTGGCAGTGTTCTAGATAAGCTTCAGTGAATTGGCATAGTTGCATCACATATGTTCCTGATCACTGAATTTGATATTTAAGTTTTCAATATAATAATTTTTTAAAAAGAAAAACTTGAAGTACTTCTACTTTTTGATTTATTGTAACAACCTAGCAATGAAAATGTTTACCTTCAACATACTTCATTCCCAAAAAAAAATTCCAAGGCCAGTTAAGTTGATATACTGTAAATCTTCTGTAGGTTTTTGCAACCATACATGTATACCTTTTTTCAAGGTTTATAGTTCCACCTTCAGATTTGCTACTTTACCTTTAAATAGCAACATTGATATGATATGCTGTTATGGTTCTCTTTGTAATCAAATCAGTTTTCAGAATAACTTTGACGTAATGAAAGCCATAACCTAGAAATTCTTGTGCATGTCTTAAATTTGGAGTATTCCGTTTCAATTAAATCTCTCCATGTTTTCCTACAACTCATGATTTCCCGAGTACAACTTCCAAAGACCGCACATTCTAATGCGAGTGATCACTATCCAGTCAAGACCCAGAAGGGGTAATTACCGGGTACATGTATCAATCTCCCAATCCAAACCATTTTCAAAAGATTTTAATATCATTCATGTTACTGTGTTCAGGAGAGCCATTTTTAACTTAACCACTTTTTTCAAAAGGCAAGACCAGCTTTCTGCATAGCAAATGGTGACATATTGGTAAAATGAGCAGTACTCACACTGTAAGGTTAAAGGTCACCTTGCCAGATAACCATGCCTTGTAGATCAGCATGTATATTCAAACACACATTCAGATTTAATCAATTATTTTGATCTCAGACATGTATCATCATAATCGTTTATTGCAAATTTCACTTAAATTATATATTATTGTTGTTTACAGTTTCTAGCAGCAGCCTTGCGTCATTTGATGGTAGCTCCTATTTCACCTATGACCTCTCGAAGAAAGGAATACAGACTCAGGAAGATGTGATTCAGTTTGAATTCCGTACACAAAATCCGAATGGTCTTATCCTCCAAACTGGAAATATTAACGACTATGTGTTTTTTGGTTTGGAAGATGGGATGATCGCCTTTGCTATTAACTTGGGATCTGGTCCTTATGCTGAGGTTATTACGAGCAAGAACTTCAATGACAATAAGTGGCATAAAGTAGTAATGACCAGAAAGAGACAGCAGGTAACTT